TTGTGAAGAAAAAGAAAAAAGAAAGAAAGGGCTAGGAGTGTAAGTGAGATTAAACTGATAGCAAGTTGTTAGAGTTTCACTCTATTAATATTCTACTCGAATTCAATTTGAGTTTTAATTTGATTCGAGTTCTTAATGAATCGAAGTGAGTTATTTAATACCCGATTCAAAAAATTTATGAGTAATTCGATAAAAATAATACATCAATTTTTTAATTTTTTAAATGAAATTATTGATAATATTAACATTCATATGTTATTTATTATAGAAAAAAAATACAATATAAAATTTTTTATGTACTTCATATTTATGTTCGAGTTCGAGTCGAACTTTAATTTTTAATTTCTAGTTTGAGTTTAGCTTTATAATATTAAGCTCGGAGCTTTCGAGAGAAGTCAAGCTCAATTTTAATATTTTCAAGTCGAGTAGAGATCTCCAATACTCGACTTAATTCGTTTACATCATCAAAACCAGCAAGCAAGTCGATGTCTTAGCACTTAGCGGTAGAATACAAACCGATGAGTGATTCTATGGTCTTTTGACAGTGAGAATACATGACAAATCCCATAGACTTTAATCCCTTTGCTGTCAAAGCATGCACGTTCCACCCCCCCCCCCGGGAAAGTTTGCCAATTCTCTGCTTGTATTTGTTTGAATCCCCAAGATTTTCTATCATTCCCTCGTCGTGGGCTCCATTAAGAAAGAGAAAGAAGAAAATAGTATGAACCAAATTTAAATAATAATCAATTATAATGTCGATAATTTTCCAGAGATGTTTATTTCTTTCTTTATCAAAGCAAAATGTTGACCAGTATGTAAACACAAGCAGGCATAGCGGGCTGGAAACGCACTAGCCTTTAGCCTCTAGTCTTTGTCTTTGTATTATATAATCACAAGCGGTGCTTTATATGCCGATACCATTTGTCATTCATTGAACGATATTGTGAAAAATTATGCTTTCAATCGGAAGAATTCTCACCTCAATGTTTTAGCTTCTTTTTCAGTGAAAAGTGAAGAGGACAAATGGTAGCAATAATTAAAGGTGTTGGGGAATGAAACAAAATTCTAAGTGGGGTTAACTTTTGACATCAAATTCTTACCATTTGAGTCCCACCTACATCAATGTACACAAATTCTAAACCGACCTTTAAAGGGCATTGTACGAGATTGAGGTTGAGTCTCGCCTCTCTCTTCCGCACCACCAATTCTTCAGAGCTTGATATGCAATCATTTTAAAAATGATTTCATCCAATATATTTTTCATGACCTGTGCAACTTCTTTTACAATTGAATTCACATGTTAATATCTATTCAGGACAATATGCGTTCTCATTTATTTATCGCGTTATATTTTTTAAATACATATTATAAACATTATAAAAAAAATAATCCCACGTAAAATATATTAATTAATTGGACTAAAAATGTGAAACTGGCGTAGCCACAAGACTTTGGAAAGAGGCGAACCCAACCCAAGGATCGAACACACTGGGCTAGTTTTAGCAGATCAATAAAGAGATGTTAAACAAGGGGCCGAAGCCCGATCCCCTCTCTAAACTAAACTTATCACATATATAAATTATGAATAGTGATTCACCTACACTAATCTAAAGTTGAATTTTACACATCTTCAAAAATTTATTTTTGATTAATATTTTAATAAATCAACCAATCAATTCATGTTTTTAACGTAGATTACATATATTATATTTTAAATAAATTAAAAACATGTAATAATTAATAATAATACGGTAATATAATATTATGTTTATTTAATTTATCATAATATAATTATATTTAAAAATAATAATGATAATTTACTAACATGACAATATTGACATAATATATCATACCAATTTTTATTATTGTGATTTCACTTACTCGATATTATAACATTTTAGTATCAAGCATTGGATGTTAATTAATTAATATTTTTTATTTAAATAAGAGGTATTTTAATAAAATTAATAAAATAATATTTGTCGTAATCATACTTCGAGTGGATCAAGAATCGGGTTTCGACTTAATTTGATGTGATGGATTCTCCACCGATCATTTTAATTTGGTTGATCGGATACCATAACTTACCGTTGTCTGATCTATAACTTACCAGAAATTTGTCAGATTCGGGAGTCGATTACAGTCAGGGAAAGATTAGCACCCATGTACTGTCTTTTCGGTACCAATTTGATTTCCCAATTGTCTTAATTGGGAAAATTAAAAGTTAAATTAAAATTTAAAAGTTCGATCCGGATTACTTACCTTTGACGAATTTTAGAATAGCCTAAAAATGTGAAATCGATGTTAAACAACAAATAAATAAAATAAAATAAAATCAAAGTATTAAATTAAAAATATGAAAATATTAATGGGGATTAAATTGAAAATAATTGAAATTTAGGGGTTAATTTGATGCTAGAAGTGAACTACAAAAAAAAAGTTAAGAGCCAATTTGTAAAATGTGGAAAATATAAATAGGGACCGAATTGAATTAATTCAAAATTCACGGGCAAATTTACAACAAATGACCAAAATGAATTACGCATAAAAATAGTAGGGACCGCAGAAATAATTTAACTATTTTATATTTGCACAGTGGTCGTCCCTATATAAAGCCCTTAAAACCCAAAAAAAAAACTCATTTTCACTCATTTCTCAAAAAAAATCTAAAAGCTCTCTCAAATACTCTCCATCCCCACCTAGTCGGCCACCCGCCGGCTCTTAGAGAGTCACTGTCGCTCGCCGCTATGGCCACCGGTGGCCGAAAAACTCAAACCTATCCCCCAAAACTTCCTCTCAACTCCCCGAAACCATATCCATCCTCAAAATATTCAAAAAAAACCCCAAGCATATATCTACGCTAAAAGTTTAGGCCTTTACCTTTTCCGATGATGACGCTTCGGGTCCTAGCAATGACCTTCCTCCGAGACAAAAACAGACGCTAGCTTTGATATTTTTTCGTGATCCTCATTACTATTTTCGAATATTTTTTGTTGGATTTTTTTTCTTTATTGTGCGATATTTCTCGTTGTTTTGCTTGATTTCTCGTTGTTTTGCTTGGTTTCTCTGTTGATTTTCTTGGTATACTACTTGGGTTTTTTTGTTGTGTTATGTTGGCTTCTCGACGTGCTATTTATATAGCCCCCGTCGGGGCTGTTTCTGATCATTTCGGGGATTGTTTCCCCCGTTTTTTATTTATTCAGGCTTGAGGAGGTTGTTGTTTTGATTCCACTTCGATTTTGCTTCATTTTGTTATTGCTCGTTGTTGGCCGAAAATCACGAGACATATTCGCTGTGATTTGCTTCGCCAGCCATTATGCGTTGGCCGGACATCAGGCTTGCGGCGCCTTTGCTAAAATGTGTAACTCTAGCCCCTGCTGGGGTCAGGCAGACGGGCTTGGGTCTTACCGGGCTTACTGGGTCAGGCTTGCTTCGGTTGTGCTTCACTCTGGACCAGTTGGACTTGGACTTTACCTTTGACTTGGACCCGGATTTGGACTGGGATGGACTTTGTTGGACTAGGTTTGGACCTATAGATAAACCAAAAAATAATAATAATATAATATAATATAATATAATATTATATTATATTATATTATATAAAATAATAAATAATACTATAAATAATATATAATATAATAAATAATACGTACACTATATTTATTTTAAAAACTATACAATATATATTATATTTTCAAAAACTATATAATATGTTTTCAAAAATTATATATATTATATATGTTTTTAAAAACTATTTTCAAAAACTGTAATAATATTATATATATATATATATATATATATATATTTAAATTATTTTGTATATATTATATACTGTATAATAATATAAATACTGTAATAAAAACCTTTGATATCCCGTATAAAAATAGGTGTCTACAATATTGTTTTATTCCTTTTTTATCTAAATGACACAAAAAAAAATTTAATTTTGAGAATGATCCAATTTTAATCACATAAAACAAAAGTGTTGCTATGTAGCAACACCTTATTGAAAGCATTCCCACGTGAAAATACCTTTGATTTATATGAATAAGGCGGTGAAAGGTGATTCCACCTTGTCACGCCTTCCATTAATATCGCCCCTGTGGTCGCACTTTCCATTAAAATCACCCCTGTGGTGAAAAACACGTTTTATTAAATGCACCTTTCTAAATTAAAAAAAAAACAAACTACAGACACTATTTAATTTGAAACTATGATTTAAAAAGATAATTGGAGTTAGTTTGTATAGATAAAACTACAGTGTTAGCCTCTGTTTCTTAATAATGTGATATTCGAGAGATAGAAAAGGTATTTAAGTATACCTTTCTAGTTTCAGATCTTAAATCTCATACTGAAAAGAGATAAAAACTAACAATTAAGTTTTGTCTATATACACTAACATCAATATCATTTCAAGTCATAGAATCAAATTACTACTTCGATCTTTGAAGTTTAATTTTTTTAATTTTAAAAAATTATAGTTTTCATTATGTGGGAATTATTTTACTAGAAGTTGCGATGATGTGGAAGTGCCTTCTATCACTTTGAGCATGAAAGTAAAAAAGTTTTCACGTGGGAGCATTGTGGTCATATATAGCCAAAATGAATGATATCCTCAAAAATTAAAGATTTATGGGGGCCAATTTAATTTAAAAAGAATAATTTATTTCAATAATTTTGTTGGTTATTTTATTTTAAAATAAAACATTAGGGTTAAGGGTTTAAACAAAAGAATATACACTAATATGGTTATTTGATCAAACATTAAAAAGTTAAATTTAATATTATGTATTTTAAAATTTAAAATTTGACAGACTAATATTATTTTCATAAATAATTAAGAGTGTAAACACTAAATCAATAAATAATTTTTAGTAAAAAAAAGTATACTTTCATAGCAGGATTAAAAAATCCCACCTGCTCCGTTTTTATATATTTTAACTACATTATGCAACACTTTTAAACCTAGATAACTTTCTAAAAACTTAAAGAGGTCATGAATAATATTCCATTTGTTATTTATAATACGTAAGATATATTTACCAAAATATCCTTGAGTTGATTTTTTCATGCAATTACGTGGACCCCACACCAGTCCTCAAGTTTGTCCATAAATACGAGCCCCCTACGCTGCATTTCTTCCCTTTTCTCCTCCTCCTCACCTCCCCCATATAGAATTTTTGGTATATTTTCTTTTATTCCCTGTTATAATTATCGCTAAGTCCTGTTAAAGCCATGCTGTTCACTGATCCGACAACGTTTTGCTCCAATCCGATGGTCGAAAGTAATCCATTTCCGCCACTTGAAAGCGGATGGGATTGCTCCCAACTTTTTCCCACTACCCAATCAGTAGGACCAGTCGGGTCGGGTACCGCTTCAAGCGAAGCAAACCAAACCCACTCCAATTCCAATCCCGGTTTGGATGAACCAAACCAAACTGTTCCCATCATCGACGACCGAAAGCGCAGACGTATGATATCGAACCGGGAATCAGCTAGGAGGTCACGGATGCGTAAACAAAGGCACCTAGAAAACCTAAGGAACCAAGCCAACCAGCTTAGAATCGAGAACCAACAACTGTCCAACCGTTTGAGGTTCCTTTTGTACCACGGCCACCGTGTGAGGACCGACAACCACCGCCTCCGATCCGAATACAGTATGCTCCGACAAAAATTATCGGACATACATCAAATATTGCTTTTCAAGCAACTGCAGCAGTTTCCATCATCTGCATGGCCATGCAATAACGCTACTGCCATGTCCGAACAAACTACACCATTAATCATCTAAGCAGATATATTAAACTCAACAATAACTTCATCAAATCAAAGTTCTCTCCGAAAAAATAAAAGCTAGCTGATCTCTATATCTCTGTCTCTCTCCTCGCTTTCTGTAAATTAAAACTGGGGCTAGGTAAAGAAAATTGGTGGTAACGTGGGTTTTCTTGGTTTTTCCTCTCTTTTTTTCTTCTCTTTTTTTGAGGATGAAGAAACAAGAGTGTTGTAATGTAAAAAAAAAAAAAGATAGTAGTTGTTTGGTTTCTGTTGCCTTATTGAGTAATGTTAGCATTGAAAAGTCGTCTCAAGTTTTAAGCTCCCACTTTACATTTTGCTTTATATTTAATGCAAGAAAGCAAATCATTAATACTTACTTTTGTCTTTTTACATGCAAATAAATCCAAGTGTTGGTACGGTCTCCAAATTAACATTTGATTTTGGGTTTGATTTAGTGACTTTAGTTACTCTATTGAATTTGGAGTATAAAGGACATTTGATTTAATTTAATAAATAAATTTTAATATCGTATTATAATCAAATTATGATTAATGGCACTAATAAATAATATAATTTACATATATCGTAGGATTTATATTTACTCTTTAATAATATTATTTATAAAGTTTCAATATAATTTTTTATTAATAATATAATATTCATAAGTATTGTACCTTATATTTATTGATCCCGTAGGGATGATGGCTTACTTCGTATCCGTTGGACATAAAGTGAAACGGGAGATGCTGAAATTAACAGTCAAGCAGTGGTTTTATTCTGTTTATTTTTACTGGAATATACGTATAGATTATAAATTATTTTTTATTAACCTAAAATAAATACAAATAACTCTAACTATTTAATATTAAATGTTCATATTTCTGATATTTATGGTACTCGAACTTAAATCTAAGGAATGATAATAATTCTTTTCTAGTCGAGATTAGTTCATTGGTGCTATAAACTAGAATTTTAAATAAACTAATTAAAAATAATTTTATAAATTAATCTAATTTAATTTTGGACTCTAAATTCATGACATGTATATAAGCTTGGCCAATAAACAATTGACAAAATGTTCATAAAACGTCATATCTTGCTATTTTAAATCACAGACAAAAAATTTAAGAATATTTTCTTTTTTAGTAAAAGAGAATATTTTCATTTTCTATATACAGAGCCCTAGTTAGTCCTGAGCAGAAAGAGTCCCTGCTTAGGGCCCCAATTAGTTGTAAATAATTAAGGCTATCTTTGACTGTGTAGGGTCTCCAACCAAAAAATATTTTTTTATTATAATATAATTAAAGTTTTTATCTTCAAACGTTATTTAGTCACTCTTGTATTAAAATCAAACAAAAAGTAATGGTTAGAAACATCCGATCAATTAAGTGGAGCCCTCCAAAAAAATAAAATAAAATAGTAATAACTAAATAAAATAAAATAAAATAGAAAGAACCAAATCAATTCTAAATACATCCAACCTAAAAATAAAAGCCTTTATAATATAATTATTATTTTATATAAAGAGTAATTATTTTCTTAGTTTTCCTATACACATTTTTAGTATAATGATGGATTCTCAATAGTTTTTTCCCTTTTGGTCTTTGTACAGGTGTATTTATATATGGTGACCAGTGAACATTATATTAAAAGAACCATTATTGTATTTGGATTATATTTTTAAAGTTCGTATTTTTCTTTTGGCATTTCTCAACATACAAAGGTTATTCATCCATTAAGGTACAAAGATTAAAGGTTACCCAAAACTAAGGTAAAATATATTTTATGAATTTATAATTGAGTTTTGATATTATTTATGTAAATTTTGAATTTTTGTATATTTGTAATTTGTGGTTGTTAATTATGTCTTTTTGATGTTTTATTTTCATAAGTATGATAGTGTAGGTGAGAGTGTATTACACCATCGATTAATTTATCTAAAAGCAAGGCAAAACTTCAACGACGAGGACTCAGGTGCTCGTAGAAATTGTTTTATGTAGTAGTTGAGTGTTCAATATTTTTTTAATGTTTTTTATTTGAAATTTGATTTATTTATTAGATAGTTTGTTAAGTTTAATAAAAACTATAATTTATAAATAAAATAATTTATTTTTATATATTCTTAGAATTTTTTAATATTTATTATTAGATACCCAATTTTTAAATGCACTCTGAACCACCAAAATTTCATAAGCAAACTTGTGTGTAAAGATAGAAAACAACTCTCAGTTCCCTTTTTCCATTGCGTTAGGACCTTTTTTTTTTAATGAAAATGGTAAACTACATATTCATTAAAGTTTGATTAAATATTTAACAAAATTTAAGGTTTAATGTCTTTCAAAAAATCAATTTTAATAAATAATAATTAATTGATTTATAAAAAAGAATTTAACGCAGGATTTTGTTTGAAGAATGAAAGTATTATTACAAAAGTTTAGTTTTATTTTAAAAAATAAAGTTTAATTCTTAATGTTTCTATTCATTAAATTATTATTCTAGTTATCAAAATAAAACTTTGAAAAATATTTTTATTAACTTTTTATTAAAATTATTTTTAGGGTTTAAATTAAGTTAGAGTAATTGTAAATTTATCTTTAATACAAAAGCACAATGCCAAAAATCAATCAAAGTGAGGTAAAATAACAAATTTCGATCTTCAACTAAAGTATAGTGACAAGTCCATTAACTTTTTTAAAAAAAAAAAACCAGCTATAATATTATTGACATCATAAAATGTTGTTACATTAAGTAATGGATATTCCTCGCATATTATTTTCCTAAAACATACAGTTTTTTTAATTAATATTATTGACATCAAAATAGTTTTAATTAAAAAAAACTTTCGGGTTGTTAACTTTTGTTCGGTATGAAGATATTGATTAGGTCGTTACTTTGTCATATTATATCCGATATTAGGTACATGCTTTTTTTGTTATATTCATTTTAGGCTTTTAGCTATAATTTAATTTAATGAGACAACAAGATATTGGAAAGTTGAATCTTAATTTGTGGATCCCTGAGTTTGATTTTGTTTGTCTGTTTTTTATTATGTTTTATAATATATATTTTTTAATACTTGCAATTATTTTTGTACATTTTAAAAATAAAAGCAAATGGTTTTATTAAAAAATAGCAATGAATGTTTATAACTATAACCATGAATTAAACATATAATTAGAATATTTTCATATAACATCGAAACAAAAAAACTATTCACGTACGGTCATACAATGATTATATAGTAAAAAAAGTTAAAATTCAACTAAAAATATTGAAGAAATATATATAAGAACAGATCTGATTGCACAAATAAATGAACCACTAAAAAGAATCAAATTACCAAAATATCACCAATAAATTATAAATCAAAATCGAACGACGTGAGGAAACTATCCACAAATGTAACCACATATCCAAATCCAATCGAAAGATCCAAATCCAATCGAAAGATCCAAAACAAGGAAGATCAATAATTCTTACTTTTTAAAAAAAATTAATAAAAAATAATTCTATCTTTGTGACAAGTTTTTCTTCGTCTTTATGACATGTTTTTCGTATTCTTTCTATGTCCTTTGGGGTTAATATTTGATAAAGATGATACTTATTTGTAATCATCCTGATCTTCTATGCTTTGGATCATCGGATTGAATTTGAATATGTAGTTTTGTGTTTGTGGATAGTTTCTTACGACGCTTGATTTTGATTTACGATTCTTGATGGTCTTTCAATAGCTTAATTCCTTTTTGTGGTTCATTTATCGAGCAGTCATATTTGTTCACATCTATTCATTGTTTGAGTCTTTTGTTAAGATTTTAACCTTTTTCATGTATGATCCTTATATGATCTAAAGTGTATGTTTTTTTGTTCCAATGTTATATGATAAGGTCCAAATTATATATTTAGTTTATGATGTTAATTGTAAATTCTTATTATAATGTTGGATATTTTCATATTTTAATAAGATTAACAACTTCTATTAAAAAATATGTAACACAATAAAAATGATGTAAACACATGAGTAACTTATTAAAATTCATATAAAATAAATTATTAATACATTAACATTTAATAAAATATATGATATTTAAATAAGTCTGTTTGAATACTATCGTACAATTGTATGAAAATATAATAATATTTTTAATAATTACACGTGAGTATAATTGCAAGAAGTTTTACTTTTTTAAATATATTTGACTAACAAGAAATAATTACATTTTTATTTCTCATTTTATAATTGGTAATACAAATAATAATTAAAAATTTAAATTTAAATTTTAAATAATATTATTATGAAATCATCCTAGTGAGTGTGGGTAAAATCTACTCATATAATGTTTGAAAATATAATTATTATTTAATAATTTCATGTGAGTATAATTACAATAAATTTTAATTTTTTAAATATATTTGACTAACAATAAATAATTACATTTTAATTTCTCATTTTATAATTGGTAACACAAATAATAATTAAAAAAATTATTTAAATTATAAATAATATTTTTATGAAATCATCCTTATGTGTTGTGGGTAAAATCTACTCATATAATGTAAAAAAATCACATTAATTATAGATCATTTGATAATTATGGATGGTTATTCACAAGTATAGGGGCTCAAAAAAAATTAAGCTCTTTCTTTGGTTAGTCTACTGGGGACGTGTAATGACGAATGCTGAACGCATGCGTCGACATCTAACGACGGATAGCAGCTGCCCGGTTTGCTTTGCACCGGTTGAGGACATCAACCAACTGCTTCGACAGTGTCCTTCGGCTTTAACAGTTTGGGCTGCAGGAATTTATTGGGATGGATTTACGCTCATGGCTGAAAACAAACCTTGGGGATGCAACGAGTTTTGCTCGACTACATGAGAACTGGGATATTCTATTCGGAACACTCATTTGTAATATTTGGTTAAGTCGAAACACCATTGTTTTGGATAGATAGCCGGAAGATAGTAGATCGGTAACTGAACGAGGAAAACAGCTGATGGAGAATACAATCCGAGCAAGTCTGTTAGGTTCGGTAAATCGCCAGCCTCAACTCAACTGTGGTATTGGAAGAGAATTTGGAAGAGAAAGATGAACAAGACCAACTAGTGGATGGGCGAAGGTGAACACGGATGGTGCAAGGAACCGGGAACGGGACTTTCTAGCTGTGGAGGGGTTATTCGAAACCATGAAGGGGAATGGAAAATGGGTGTTGCTAAATTTATCGGAATATGTTCGGTTCTTGAAGCGGAGCTTTGGGGAGCTTTCATAAGACTCTTATGTGCATGGGAGCTACAGAAAACTCAGATTATACTGGAATTAAATAGTGTGGAGGCATTGGATCTTATTGCAGCAGCTTCGACAGATGGAAATAAGATTACCC